CTAACTCCAACACCACTGGCTGAAAGGCAGCCCGAACCATGAGATAGCCTCCACCGTGTTTTGAAGATGGTTGTAGACAGTCACTGTTATCCCGCCCTCCTCACTTCCTCTGTATACACTCAGTTTAGATTCATCACTCCACAAGTCCTGTCCCACTGATTTTAAGTCCAGTTCTCCCAGTTCTCGTCTAATTTGGTGTAATTACCCAACAGCTTTGGCAACACATCAGCATTTTTCTCCCCCTGCTCTCCTTAAGAATGGCGTCTTGACAGCCACCTTTCCAATGAATCCATTTCTGATGATGCTTCGGTGAACAGTAGAGGGACATTTTCTATTTCCTAAGAACATGATGTTAAATCCTGACATTTATTTGTTTATCTCTAAGGACTGAGTTACAAATGAAGCGAAAAGCTGCCAATGTCAAAGAAGAAAAAGAGCAAAAGCTGGGAGAACTATTGCTCAAGATCACTTTAAACAAATAAACAAACATATACAAAGAAATCTGGTTTCCTGGAACCAAAACGTAAAGAAAAGACGGGCGGCACAAGTTTTTTGCATGACGCTCTAAACCAAAATTCAAAAGTAGTATCTTGACACATCTTAATCTCTGGTGACTCACCAACCTATCTGACTGGTTCCTGCGAGCAGCACACACAGCTGAGTGGGCTGACACACTGGGCGGTAACAAGCTCTAAATAAATAAATGAAAGAAAACTCATCGCAGAGCTGACGAACTATGTCAGCTAGCGAGCCAGTCGCTAACATGTCAGCCGCTCACTACTGCGGCTTCTCTGCAATGTGCACTTTATCCCCCCCTTTGTTCTCAAGCTTGCACACTATTCCACTCAAGCATTTTTACTGAATAAGGAAAATAATCTATCCAAGCTTGCTAATTGCTCGCCAGCCAGCTCATTAACTAAGCTACTAGCAAGACAAAGTCCCCATTGTTTATTCAGAAGCCATGCTTGCAGGTTTCTGCCTTCCTGTAACGCTCTGCAAACCTTTATGTTTATAGTGAAACAGCAAACTAACATCCTGAATTTTGGACTGTAGGGTTCAAAGGTCAGCTCTGTGAGCCCACCCACTGCAGCAGGGTGACTAGAATAATACGAACTGGTAAAAACAAGCCTTTGGGAAACGTTTTAATAATCAAGTATACCAGCATTTTGGTATACTTCTGCGGATGTCACCAATGATTGGGCTTTATTCCAAATTTCTCTGGCCCCAAGCACGCACACATTTACAAAGAAAACACTCGCACTAGGCTGTGTGAAAGTAATGGACTAACCAGCTGCACCTACGTAGCCCAATTAAAAGTATTTACTGAATCAGAGTCTTATT